AGTATGCAATTTTCGAGTGTAAATTTTTAAATTGCGTTTCGTAGTGGCAAAGAGAAATTCACTTTTGCAGCTAACGGAACAATGATGGACTGATTGTCTGTTATTTTAGACGAAAACTTTCGTATAGTATTGAACTCATTGCCGACCACGAAAGAATACGAAAATCATTTGAGACTATTTACCGATTTGGAGGAAACAAATAAACGAAAAAATCTAACCTCTCTTTTAGTTATTTTATTAAAACTATTTAAAATGTATTTATCATTTCAGAAAAATGGAAAAACGAAAGTGGAGATGGATTTTTGTTTAGCGGACTCACTCAGTTGGATACGACATTTGGCTTAAGTGAGTTATATGTCACTATCATGTGCAGTACGATAAGGCAATTCAAGTAATTTCTGTTCAAAATGTCAATATTTCAGTTTTAAACCGTTGCAGATCCAAAACGTCCAACAAACCACGAACTATTGTTACAAGTTTTTTTTGCTTCATTCAAACAAAGCGGCTGAATGCCACAATTTTCATGCGAATCACATCATTGAATATATTTTTCACTACCAAATTTTCACTACCAAAATCATAGTTCTTTCACTACCGATTTTGCACTACCGTTTTTTCACTTTCGTTTTTTCGCTACCGTTTTTTCACTTTCGTTTTTTCGCTACCGTTTTTTCATTACCAATTTTCTTATAGTCATTCTTCTTGATTTTATCAATAATCCACTTCATTCCAGAAAAAAACGAGTTTAAAGAAAATCTTTTTTTTTTCATTTTTTTTATTAAATATAAAAAAAGCTAAATTAATTTAATCTTTAAACGAATGAAAATTAATTATTAAAAACACTTTACAAGGAATAAAAAATATTTCAAAAATTATTCAAGGGGACAAACAATTATTATTTATATATTGAATTTTCCTAAATGCATTCCTAACTTGGAATACAAACTTTTCCGTGTTGAAAATAATATGAACAATATCTATAAAATATTGTTAGAAATAACTTTGTTAATCACACGAATAGAAAAAAATTTAAAAACAATGCAGTTAGGCTGATATTCATGGCTGCGGACCGACGAAAATCTTGAAATATTTTTTGTACCTTGTAAAGTGTTTTTTAAAATTAATTTTCACTCGTTTAAATATCCAATTTAGCTATTTTCGTAATATTTAATTTAAAAAAGATTTGCTTTAAACTCGTTTTTTTCTGAAATGAAGTGGATTATTGGTAAAATCAAGAAGAATGAGTATAAGAAAATTTGGTAGTGAAAAAACGGAAGCGAAAAAACGAAAGTGAAAAAACGGTAGTGCAAAATCGGTAGTGAGGAATCATTGGCCGTTATTACCTTGAAAGGGGGAGTTACTAAATATTAAATTGTTGTTATCTTTGAGTTTTTAAATTGTTTCTTAAGGTGGCTTTATAATTCTGCACCGCTCGAAAAAACGGTTTTGGACCACTGCGCGGTTACTTTTTGAGATACAAACATGAAATTTGGTACATATAGGTTATTTTTTATGCTGAACACGATTTTCACACTGGTTGGTCTCAAAATATCGAAATCATTGCGCGGCGCTCAAATTTGGGGGTGGCCTTATAATTCTGCAACGCACTGTATTCTTGCGCATTATTGGCAATTCCTCGCCGACATGCGTTTTCGGGTTCGCATTTCTCGTAGCAACATATCTGAAATGATTATTTGCGAGTTCTCAGTGTATGCCCTTCGTCACACTCTTCCAAAGTCGATATGAAATTCTCATAGATAATCAAAGATTTCTCTTCGAAGACATACACTGATTATAATTATTTAGATTGGAAGGTTGAAACATGTAAAAAGTGGGCTATGCTTAGCAATGCCAATCAAAAAAGGATCTAGAGGAAATGATGATGAATTTAATCCTCCGATTGTTGAATCATGTAATGGATCAAATGAGCGTCAGGTAAAATTTACTTGAATGGTACAATTCGTAAAAATCGATATTTGTAGAAGTGGGAGATTGCCGAAGTCGAATGGTTGAAAGATTCTATATAGTCAATCAATTTATTCGATCACATCGTAAAATATTCATTTTTTTTTTTGAGTATTCTTGTTTACCTCACATTTATCATTTAAAATGTGTCAATATTCTTTCCGCGTTTTTATTCCGAATGCATTAATTGTGTCGCCTTGTCATTAAGCCTGCCCTGACTTTACATAGTGCTGGCCATAATTCTATAAAAACCACATTTTCTGCCATAACTTTTTTCAAAATTGGCCGATTGATCTGAAATTTTGAAAGAATACGCGGAGCACTCTTTCGAAAATTTGTATCTTTTTAAATTTCATTTCTTTTAATTATTGAATTTTTTGAATTTTCAGATTTTTCATTATTGATTATTGTAATGTATAAGACGCCTCTAGCAGGTCGTAATATTTTCAAAATTGCTGAAAATCATGGCCAGACCTTCTGGCAACAAGAATCTTTCAAAAAACATCCAAGAAGCCATCGTCCGAGGAAGAAACGGAACGACTGTCAAGTACCTGGCGCAACAATTTCAATGGCCTAGAAAAATTGTCCTCAAAAATTGTGTTCGGCCACGGCCACACCTGATTTTTCCACAAGTTCATAGAAATAAAAGAAAATGGCGACTACACATCATTTTAAAAATTAGCCTGTGACAGTGTGCCTTACTTGCACCACGCACAAAATGGCAAAAATAATGAAACAAAGTTAAAGTAAAAAAACAATGGTTTCAAATTTGAAACTTCAGACCCAAAGTTTTGGGACTTTTTCGAACTTTTGCAGAAAACGACATAGCACACTCGATGGGGAATTTCTAGATCCGTTTGTGTGCAAAATTAGAAAAATTCCAAACCACTAAGTAAAAATACTTCCCTTGTCAGAATTTGTGTGTCGCACTTGCATTTTTGCTTTTTGAAATTTTCGACCAATTTTCTAGGCCACACGCGAGTTGCGGCGAGTCGTGTCGAAGTCGCGAGACTGCGAAAAATTGGCTAAATGCCAACAACTTTGAAAAGAGGTCTCGGTGCGCGGTGCGCGCCTTTAACCTATCCTTATACTTGGCCCGTAAATCGACGCGTTTAGTTTGGTTAGGTTTTTTTGTTTGCTAATTTTCCGAAGTTGACAATAATTCTTTCCATTTTTCCCTTGATCGCTTTTGAATCAATTCTTTTCTTGCTAAATAAATTTTTTCTAACGAAAAAAATTCTGCTCGGGCAAAACGGAATTTCGCGCAACTTAAATTCAATTTTTCCGCGGCGACGTTTGCACCCTGTGGAGATCACAGCTGTATGTCTTCGTTTTTCAGCTATAGCTGAAAAACACTAATAACAACAAATAAGTGTCTGCCATCCGCTTATATAGGATGGCAGAAGAATACATACAACAACACTTATATAAAATAAAAATAAAAAGAAAATGGTGTGAGATTCGATTTAAATATTGACTGGAGATAAGTGTTGCATCGGACACTGAAAATATATGAATTACTCAATGACGACTAGTTTCATTTTTTTTAAATCAAGATTCAGTTGGTCTTCGAAATGCAACTGGAAACACAATGACGAAAATCAATAAAGGTCAATAAAGAGTAATCTGTGGTAACTCAAAACCAATCGGATCCGACAAAATTTGGTTTCGGAAACGACCTTATCCGATTGGATATTTGTCGAATCCGATTGGAATTGAGTTACCAGAGATTTTTAATTTTTTTTATTTTTTAGTGTAAACAGAAGCATCATCTATGCTCACAAAACTAGCGATTGCCTAAATCTACTAAGTATTTTTAAACTCGATAGTTTGCGTGCAGCACAAAAAGTTCCACTGTGGTCTTAAGGATCATTTAAATGAATTTCGATGATTAAAAATATGCAAAAGTGGATAAGATACTTGTACTTTCTAATTTATATATAATACATTATACAAATAAATTCTTACACGTTAATATGCTCTAATATCCGATATCTCAATTGTTCCTCAGTGTTTCGTCCACATATCACACTAATGCTGGAATATCATGTTCTAAAATTCGCAATCTTAAATGATGTGTATGTATAATATTGAAATTCTAACCTCGGCTGCTTTCCGTAATTCAACTCCTTGCTGACCATTCGACGACGATTGATATGAAAAGAGTTGAAGTTTAATTGGGATTCGATTTGCAATTTTTTTTTTCGATTTTTATTCGACGAAAATTGTTTGCCAATTCGGCGATTCGGCAAATTGAAGAGATTTTTCAGACCACACAACCACCAACGGACTTCCTCCTTTACAGTCGTCGGGCCCTTCGGACCACCGATGCCAAGCGTTTCTCGGGGTCGGGTGGTTTGACCGACCGCCGCGCTCGTGCGGGCTTAATATTGACGAGTCCGAATCAACGGATTCATCCTCGATGAGAGAGTCTCTCATCAAGTTTGATCGTTGGCAGTTGTCCTCATCTCTATTTATTCGCCGAACCATTTTCAAATATTCGAAATTGAGGTAAGAGTTTTTTAAAATTCAAATTTTAACATTTTGAAAGAAAAAAAAAACAAATACTCACCAGTTGCTGTGTCACCAAATTGCTCGAAATGCGCGGAAATCTTCAAATTCACGCGGTGACCCGATTTAATCAATCTGAAATTATAGCGTGTGCTCATTTTTTTTTTCAAAATTCCATATATCTTGATTTTATCAATTCCAATTTCACAATTCTCAAAATGAAAAAAAATTTTCAGTTGAGATTACTGTAGCTAAGATCGAGATGTGCGTGCTCGGTGTACGCACACAATGCATAGAATATCGCTGCAGTTTTTCACATTCATAATTTTTCCACAATAAGTGTTGTATAAAATGCTTTAAAATTTTTTCCTTTGTTTTGCTCGTCAAATTTTTTATAACGTTTCCGCTATGGTTACCGTGGTTACTATGGTTATGGTTATGGCTATGGTTACTATGGTTACCGTGGTTATGGTTAACTGGATGTGCATAAAACTGAGGCAAATCGTTCAACGAACCAGAAAAAAATGAAATTTTTGGTTTCGCTTTTAGTTCGAATTGCATTTTCTCAAATTGTCAAGCTCAAGGAGGACGCTCAATGCGAGCAGTGGGATCGAGTGAGTGTTTCTGAATCAATTCATCAATATCAACACGTATATTTTACAGCGACTTGACAATAATAGCTGTCCGCTGGGATGGATGAGCTGGGAACGCGATGGATATATTAATTGTGTTCAAGTTTTCGATAAGTCCGTTCTCTTCTCGGAAGCCCATCTCTGCTGCGAACAATACAGTGGATTCATGGCGTCGCTTCCGGAAGAATTCGAGAAGAAGGCTGTCGTAGGTGCGTTATTCATATTGATGTTCTAGATAAGCGGGAACTTCTTTTTCAGAGGCGGCACGCAAATTGCCAAACTTCAAGAATGGCGGGGGCGTTCTCATCGGCGGTTATCGGCTGAATGAGTGCTTAAACGTGTTCACTCCGCAATGCGCCGGCGTTGCCGGCTTCAGATGGTCGCAGTACACGTCGAAGCATAACAAAACCGGTGGATTCACGTTCCACAATTCAGTTAAAGACTTGAACAAAGCCTACACTTGGATGGTGACAAGCAATTTCACCGATGGCGGCAACGAATGGTTCGCTGGTCAGATGGACATGGTTGCGTACGTCCCATTGGCTAATCATCAGTGCTATATCGGTGATGTTTCAGCTGGAACTACATGGGAAATCCAGCAACACCACAAAGAGCTATGAAAGGATATGCGTGCAGTACAGCAGCTTATGCTTGTCTAAAAACTTATCCAATGGAACCTCCATGATAGTTTCAAGAATGAGCAATTTTCGACATAAATATTGACGAATTTGGTGTTCGTTTATTGTATCTTTTGAATTCCCGCCGTAGGTCTCGTATGGAAATAACGCTTAGCAGCGAAATATTTCTTATTTAACCATCATAATGTGAGGTAATTTTTTAAAAATGAATTTTAAGTATTTCCATAAGTTAGTAAAAAAGTGTAAAACGACATAGCGAAACGCATTTAATCTAACGGGACCAAGTTTGACAGCCCGCACAATTCAAAATCCTCAAATTCGTCCATTTCCTCACAATTTCAAGGAATATGTTTTCGTTAAAAAAACAATTTCACCAAATTTTAACCACTCTCTAAATTTTTAAAGTCCACAGAACCTTTTAACTTTGAAATTTTATATCTCAAACAACAAGAAAGAATTGGACAATAATTATAAAACCACAAGGACGAGAAAGAGAAAGAAAAAATGTATCAGGGGAGAACGGCACAACGCGATGAATAAGGAATCATTATTTTCTGAACAAGGCGAATAAATTATATGTGCAATGAAAAAAAATATATATATATTTGTTGTTACCCTCATCTCATAACTTTTTTTTTTCATCTTCTAGGCGACTAAAATTGCAAATACTGAAAACGAAAGGCATTCTTGTTAATTTGTTGTCATGAACACAAAAATTGTGTGTGTTGGAAAATGGAAAGTTGGCGGGCATTTGAATTCGAATACAAGAAGCGGTAAATAAGGCACCAATTATAAAGCGAAACGATAGAAACAATGAAAATTCCAATGACAGGATACAGTAGAAATGAAATACAAACAAAATATGCGTATGACGAGGGACTAGAAACGATAAACCAAATAGTAGGGCTGCCGGGCCAAGAGTTGCTGGGAGGGTTTCCAATGTATCACAGTTATGCTTGACAGAGGGGGGGGAGCTTTTGAACCGACGATGAGACACATTCACGCGACCATTCCTTTATGGGCAATTTTTGAAGTTTCGACCGCTGAGCTCGCCGTGGCTTGCGCGAGATCGCCACTAGCCGAGAATCGCGAACTAAAGTGTCGCGACGCAGCCGCTGTTTGCTGGAGACACATATATTCTTTACACGCTGCCTCGAACGCCTCGTAGATCTCCGTTATCGATTGCGCCGACGTTCGGAGTGACGCCCATTTTTCAAACAACTGAAACGAAAATGAATACTTTTAGTTACGAATTTTCTATTTTTTGAGATTTATCGATTTCATAAATTGTTCAAGATTCTTCTTTTCTTTTGCTTTGAAACTCTACCTGCTCCATTATCACATTAGTTTGCGTTGATTTTCCCGCGAAATTATCATCATGAAGCACATATGCCGGCTTTTCCGGGTAATTTGACGGCACCGCAATTCGAATAGGAGGACACATGATCTGAAATTCCAATTCCAGGTTATTAATCAAACAAATTTGAAGACAACCTGCGAGGAATATATCGCAATAATAGCATGTGAAGCCTCTTTGCAGATCGGAGATCCAGACGGTTCCGCCGTCCAATTCGGAATGTTGTCCAATTCTTTCATAGCAGATCTCGGCATATTCCATTTCTTTTGCGGGTCAATCGTGCAACCAATCAAAAACATGAAATTCTTCTCGGCACCAGCGCATTGTCGCTTCGCCGGCACTTCACTCGGCTCACCCGACTTGCGTTTTCGAATCGGCGATGATGACGTTGATCGCGCGTTGACGCCTTCAGCGATCGCTCGACGAACTCTCTCCGGCACTTTAATCGACAAATGCCGAACTTTCTTCCACGGATCTCCAACATTCATACATTCCTGCTCTTCGCGCTCAACCCATGCTCGCATTACTTCGATGCCATCGTCAAGATTCCGAAAGTGGCCGATTGAAACATCACTTTCAGCAACGAATAAATCCGGCGGTCCTTCGGTGCCCTTGCCACAGTCCTCGAATCGTTTCTCGAGTTCCTCATTGTCTTTTGCGCGCTGCTCGCGCGTGAGCATCAATTTTCTCAAGTCTTCCATGAGCGGCCAAGTAACACAATCATGAGCAATCAGTAGCACCAAACCACTTTTCAGTCGAACAAGATGATCATAAGTGATCACTCTTTAAAAAAAACATATTTTGCAAAAAGAAACAAGTAGACTTCACACCTTCGTTCCGCCAGTACATCCATGAGTTGCTGAAAGCCCTTCGGTCTCGCGCATCGATCCCGCTCGCATCTTTCCTCTATCCGCGTGAGTCGCTCGAGAAAATTCTTTTTGTACTCATTCAGCAGCTCCATATATTCCGGAGTTTTCTCGGAGCTATCCGGCTGATTGCTTCCCGGACCTTGATTGCTGAAAGGTTGGCAAATCGATTGCGGGCCACGAGCTAAAAAAAAAGTATTATAAAAAAATTATTTGCGTTTATTTGGCGAAACGTTACCCATTATATCCACAGAAGGGGGCTGATGAAATTGCGGCGACGGTTGCGGGTAGTGCATATTCGGCTGCGGTGTCGGCTGCATTCGATTCATCATGTACTGCTGCTGCTGCTGCTGCTGTTGATGTTGTTGCTGTTGATGTTGTTGCTGTTGATGTTGTTGCTGCATAATCTGATGCATTGAAGGTGCCACCGACGCGGCTCCATATTGAGGCATCATCTGCTGATTGTGCATCATCCCAACGCCAATTTGTTGAGGAGGCTGCCCAATGTTGCCGTACGAGGCCCCCATTTGTCGATAGGGTTGTCCCATTCCGGGATAAGCATTATTCATTGGCATCCGTCTATAAAATAATCGTTTGATACTACGTTTGAGTTTGGTCGATTTTCTTTTAAAGTTAAACGAATTGCAAAGAAAAACCAAAAATTCATCAATTTTAACGAAATCTCAAAATACAGTAGTAGACTACATAAAAGCGGGTTGCGGCATTATTTTCTAATGTCAATTAAGGACGCTTCATGTGCACGCATTTAAGTAAAATTGAATTCGTGAAAAAGTATGAAGCTTGAAAAAGAAAAACTTCAAATCGGCGGGTTTCGTTTTAATCGGTTTTTAGACTGATGCAATTTTGGACACATTCCATTTAATAAAATCAATTTTCTTTTTAAATAAGTTTATTCAAATTTTCCTGACTGAATTAAAATAAGAAAGGTTTGGGCGCAACTCGGAACCCTTTCACATAATTTTAAAATTTTTAAAAATTAACAATCGATTATTCGAGAATGAATTTGAAGAAATTCAATAATGCGCGCGTAATTCAAATGTCGAAACAAATTTCAAGCCTAAATTTTATTTGGTACACATTTTAATATTTCTTTGGAATCTGTCGATATTAATAAAATATTTGTTTTCAGATTTTGGATTCTTTTTAAAAATGCTAGATTTCGTAACATTACACAACAACGGCTTTGGCAATAAAATTATCGAGGTTTGATTATACAAAAAAAATTAAATTGAAACATTTTTGCGAGGATCGGTTAAGCCTAAAATAGGTTCGTCAACGTTTTGCCTAATAAAAGAGGTGTGTTACAAACAGCGGAGGAGCTAACCGATATTCAAACAAAAATTTAGACGCAATCTTCTCAAAAACTGTCAAAATGAGAGAGACCATATACTTTTTTGACAACTTTGTTTGATTCCATGAGCAACTAAAGGTATACACATGATGAAGGTAAGTTTGATAAGAAAATATGAGCAAACCGTTTGATGCTCAGTTTTCAATATATTTTCGCAAGCTTAATAATACGGTATCTTTTTTAAGACAGTTTTTCATGTTCTTTGGAAGAAACAAAAATTCTGTGTCAAAACTACTTGTTAATAGGGTATCATTGATTCTGTAATCGTTCAAAAAAAAAAAATAACGAACTGTTGAATTCCATGTTGAGTTGACGCCGGAGTTTGACCTTGCGGATATGGCATCGATGTCGACATGTTGTGATTCTTCAACATCTCCATCTCGCGGGCAGCCGCTGCTGCGTTCCGACGAATCTGAAACCACTCAAAATCGAGATATTCACAATTTTCGCCAACAATACATCTGTCGACGTCAACTTTTTCTCTTTCGCAGTTTTCGGCTGCATCATCCCGTTCCGCGCAGCTTCTGCTTGCCTAAAATTGCACGATTTGAACAAGTTCATCCAACAGCAATTTTTTTTCGAAATAAAAGCAGAAAAACTCACATGTGCATGTACTGTTGAACCTGATTATTCACTGAAAACGTGTGAATTGAAGGGGTATTACGAGGGTGTCAATTTCAAGACAAAGCAAAACTCACGCTGCGGATAACGCACAGCCATCTCATGGCGGCTGATTTGCCCCGTGCGAAATTGCTGCTGGAGGTCGTTCAACTGTTGATGCAATCGAGCCTATAAAGTAACCAATGAATATTGTGCCGAAAGAAGCAAATACATTCTTATCGTCAGCGTTAAACGATTGAAGGAAGGCGGGTATTTCAAATATGCGAAATCGGGGTAAATTAAAATTTATCATTGTCTGAGTATTAAATGAGTCTACTTCTCGTTGATTTGAGACATATTGGCATATAGTTAAAAGTTTGAAAAAAAAATTCGTTCAGTCGTTTAACGCCCAAAATACCATTACTTTATTCTCATGCGGATTTATCGGACCCCCCGGAGGAGATGGCCCGGAGCCGCCCGGCGGCATTCCATAATTCATCACCGTGTGTTTGTGTGTGTCTGTGTGCGTGAATTCTTATGGAATTTTACAATTGTTCCAGAAGACGGTAAAAACCCTTAAATGTCAAAAATTAGCATAAAACGAGCTCACATTACGTAAAGAAAATATTAAAATGGCGACAAACCATTCAAATGCAAATAAAAATCAATCAAACAATCAAAATTATATTTTTTGATGATATTATTTTTCTAATCGATAAACATCAAACAAAAAAAGCAACAACAAAAATAACAACGGGATTCTCAAAAAGAAAAACGATTGAACAAAACAAATAAAAATCAACAAAACCGAAATAACGACAAAAAAAAATTTAGAGCTTAATGGCGACACTGTTTTTATCAGTTTTCTCCCTTTTGATAACCTTCTTTTTCGTTTTTCCGCCCGATTTCTTCTCATTCTCCATCGTCTCCTGCAGTTTTGCGAAGAAATTGCTGCTCTTTACCTTTTCCGATTTTCCACTATCTTTTTCCTTCGCCATTTTTTTCTTCAATTTCAGCGCCTTCTGCTCGCCGAACGTCTTCTCCTCTCCGAATTTCTCAAGAAGAGCACTGCAACCAATATTGTCGAAAAATCAAATTGAGAATAACCGAATACCGTTGTTTCGCCTTCTTCTTTCGTCGTTCCCTCAATTTGTCCGTCTTGTCTTTCTCCTCATCGGCCTTGATCGTTCCTTTAACTCGCTTCGCCACCTCTTCAGGAGCAATGAGTTGAGCTTCCGATGAAGCCATTGCGCCGACTTCTTCAACTTTAAGAGAAGCCATATTATTAACAACTTTGATCTCTTCGCGAGCCTGAAAAATGAGAAACACTGTTTAAACGTCTAAAATGTTCAAAATGCTCACCTCCAATGGTTTGTACTCGAAGTGAGTAAGTGAGTCAATAAGTCTGAATAAATCATTCATCTTCGTCTTAATTGTCTCATGTGCTTCATTCACCACATTCTTTTCTCCAGTGTCGGCCTAAAAATCGAAAAACTTTCGTCAAACCTCGAATATTCAATAATCTTACCCCCGTGCTCTTCTGGTATTCCTTCTCATAAACTTCGGCAAGCGACGTCTTCTGATTGTGAATATCTTCAAGAGCCTGCGTCTCAAACCGTGGCCCTTTCTCTTCAATCTTCTTCACTCTCACAACATCATCAAACGCTTTGTCGCGAATGCGCTGCTTGATGAGCTCTTCGAGCTTATCGGTGAACTCTTCGGTGACTTCTGGAGCTCGTTTTGCGCCATGATCAAAATCGACGTGATGCTCGAGAAGAGTATTCGATTCTCGTTGATCCGCAGCAACTTCTCCGCTAAGCTCCCATGAGCGAGGTGCAAGATTTTCTTCTTCAAGCTTCTTGATCCTCTCTTTCAGCTGCAAATCAGTGAATAAAAATATTAAAATAAAGGAAAATTCTCGAAAAAAAAAACATTTTTCACGTGAATTAGAAAAAATTAGTTATCCTACCTTTTTCTGCCTTTGAGCGAATGCAGACTGCTCTTGCTCCGGTTCCAACTCAGCACCAAGAAGAACTGGCTTATCCGAAATATCCTCATCTTCTTCGTCATCCAACTCTTCATCGCTATCCTCTTCATTCTCATGATCCATGGCAAATCGAACCCTCTTCTTTTGTTTTCCATCATCACTCTCGACGGCTTTTCGCTTTTTCCTCGACTTTTCCTCGCTCTTATCGTCAACATCTTCTCGCGATCCGAAGAAATCTTCATAAGTATACGTTGTCTTGCCATCCCATTTATCTTCCTAAAACGAAAATTCGTAATTCATGTCGAAAAGAAATTAGTTTCGAACCTCGTCGAACATCAAATTCGGCCCTTCAGATCCTCCACCGCGTTCAGATTTCAAAATGAAATCATTCATTTCAGCAAGACTAAAACACACAAAAAAACAATTATTGAAAAAGAAGGGGACTGGGAAAATCTCAAAAATCTTACTTGAAGAATTCATCATCAACAACACTTTTCGGATATTTCTTCGGATTCTTCGAAGACGACGCAGATTGCTCCTCGTCGTCATTATCATCATCATTCTCCATCTCCTCCAGCTCCCGATCCAAGTCCTTCAAGTCTTCTTCTCTAAAATTGTAATTTCCATTTAAAGTTGCAAACAATTTTTACTTCAAATTGAATAAATCAACATTTTCCTCGTCTTCCCCATCTTCATCCTCGATCTCGCTCATTTCCTCATCTTCAACATCTTCCTCGTCAAAATCGTCATTGTCGTTTGTGTCGGATTTTTCGGAGATTTTGATATGCTCCTTTCCAACTAGGTCATCAAGAGCGCCCTGTAAAATTGCATCATTACAAAATTCAAAATCATATAAATCAAATTGAAGTGCTTTTATTGTCATTAAAAAGAAAATGAAAAGTAGCAAAACATGTTGCAAAAGACTATTTTCACACGCGCGTCCATTAATTGTTGTATATATTTTGATTTTACGATTTAAACGAAATAAAAAATTTCCTACGTTATTTACAGTTCATCGAAAACCAAATTTTATCAACATTAGATAAGAAATGTTGCAAATTCCACAAAATTCAAAGACAATTGAGGAAACAGGTAGACAATAAGATTTGAGATATTTCGAAATATTGCTCAATGGAATTTTCTTTTTGAAAATTTCGGGGCAGAATTAGCAATAAAGATTTTTTATAGAACGAAAGTTCCAGAAATGAGCGAGTTTAGCGAATTTCAATTCAAAAATTAATCAGAAAAAAATTACCTTGAATTTTCTGCCAAACGCATCCAACTGTTTTTGCTGATGCTTGATGTACGACCAAACGACCTCATCATTATTCGAGATAAACGGCAGCGGCAAATTGTTCGACGACAGTTCCAACGAACTCGACCACGCGTAAATCTCCTCGATCGACGGCGGCAGAAGTTCGGCAAATTTATGGCGCCTTCAAAATCATTTTTCTTAATCAACTCAAAAATGAAACAAAAAAATGGTGAAATACCCTTGGAAAAATTGTGAAAAACTCTCAATCTCCGGCAGTTTGACAGGCATGATGGTTTAATCACAAGAAATGAGCTGTCTGCAATAATTAAAGCATTTGAGATGACGTCTTGAAAAACAAAACAAAAATTATCGTCGAGGGTACGAGTAACGCTGAGAGCGCACAGTGTACGTGCGTGTGTGTCTGTGTGTAAAGGGGGGTGTCTCTCCCGATTCATTGAGCGGAACATACACAGACAGACCTCCCTCCTTTCCTCTCCGATTATCGATTTATTAGTCCAAACGATTGAGCGACAATGCGCGCACACACACCAAAAAAAAATCATTAATTTCCTTCATTCATATTATCATTTTCAACTTCATCATCCCTGCATTTTTTTTTCGTGCTTCAATTTGATTAATGACATTCCGCGTTGACGGATGCGGAGATTTTTACGAGTTGACAGAATGCATTTCGCGAACATTTTATTTCGAATTTAATCAAAATTGTCAACTCTGTTTTTATTCTTATTCGAATTAATTGATCTAAAAAGTTTAAAAATCGCGTGAAAATCAATTTCGAGATCATTTTGATTTCCAGAATCTATTAATGGACCAATTCATGCAATAAAAAATGAAAAGAATTACACATTTTTTCAATGCAGGGTTGTAAAAAAAACGCAAATTTAATGCAATTCTTTTAAAACATTTTTTGTAAAAAGAAGATACACTTCATGAATAAGTTCATAAATTGGACAATTGTATTGTGACACAAATTTTGAATTAATGTAAGCAAAAACCCTGGAAATTCGAAAATAGTAGCGACGAATTGTCAGCACTCCGCATCGTTCCAGACCTCACAATTTTCAGGCGGCCCTATATGGTAAACAAATAGTGGAACAAGTTTTGAGACTTCTTCCAACCATCAACCAACATTATTTGAATGGAACAAAGTGCATCAAGAGGGCGAAAGTCGGTCGAGAATTAAGAGTGCGAGAGGTCGCGCTCCACAAAACCGGTAGCAAGTGTGCTCCAGCGCGAGAAAAACGAGAGAGAGAAATAGAAAAAAAAACTAGAACATATGCGACAAGAATATTTATTTTACTATTTTTTTGTCGGCGAAATAATCACAGATCACTCGAGAATAGAGAATTCTAAAATAAATCACTGGTTAGTGGGCGAGTTAAAAAAAATAGAGAAGAATTTATAACTTTCCACTATTGCCGATTTATTTGACATTTTTGTGGTTTGCGAGATGGATTTAGGGACTTACTCATCAAATGTATTCATTTTACTAAAATAAAAAAAAATAACATTAAATGTGCATTTCTACATTTTTATTGCATGCGTCCATAAGAAAAACGACAGTTTTTGTTTGAAGAGATTCGAAAAAAATATCGCATGTTATCCCTTTTTAATTAACTGTAATCTGATATAGAAGAATTACTCCAATTTTCAGGAATTTGAGAATAATGCAATTAATTTTGAATTGAAAAGAACCCCATCCCCTCAATTATAAGTAATTATCGATAATTATCGAAAAATTGTTGCAAAAAAATGATGAGATCGATGATATACATTACAACGTTTACAAATAATTGGAGTAGACATCAAAAACGGCTCAAACTAGAAAATAGAACAACTTGTGTTCAATGGTCCCAAGAATAAAACTCACGAGGACAATCAACACCAATGATCTCAACAATGATTTTCTGAACAGAAGTATATTCAACATATCTCAAGCCATAATCTGCCACGAGAGGGCGGGCTTATTAGAAATTAATTAGAAAAATGTGTCTATTAATTGTCATTCGTGCGTAAATAAAAACAAAATTCGAGAATTAAAAGTGCAAAATGGAATAAACACACAAAACAACAATAAACGTAGGAGGGGAAGGCAAAAAAAATATATAAATATATAGAAAAGAAATATTGCACGAAAGGAGTCACTGAAACAAAATATGAATGTGTAACAACACAAAAAAAATGTGGCAATGTTGCTAGCGGGGCCGACGTCAAAAAACGACCAACCCATCGATTTACCTCAGCATGAATGCGAACGCAACAAATCTCAAGCTCATTAAAAAATGAATATTGGATTTTAATGCGAAATAATAACAAAAATATGAAGAAATGCGCTCGCACGCGCGCAATAGCCGACATGTACAGCCTTCGGATGGCGCTTCAACGGGCCCGGCTTGGTCGCATCGCAAGGAATCATAAGAAACGCGGAGGAGGTCGACGCGTGCGCATTGCGAGACACCCGTGGCTTCGAGCGCATTTCGCGACGAGACGCAGACACCGTCGCTGGCACTATTTGTCGCGATTTCGATACCCGGCGCACTCCGGCGAAACATAAAAACCAACACATATCACAACTAGTAATTGTTTCGCTAATTCGGTCGTGCATTACATTTCTTTTTCTAGCATCAATAGCATAAATCAGAATAATTTAAAATTCATCATATGCTCAAAAGAGGGCGGCGGAGGTGGGCTTAGCTAGCATAGCCGATTAACAACTGCAATCTTCAGGATAAGCTCATAATAGTTGAAAATCCGAAAATCTTTCAGGAAGCTCGGAAAAATAACATCAAAAAGTAATTTACACTAATCCATCGGCATTATAATTATTGAAACTCAATTTCTCTACTATATTAGGAATTTTTAAAAATAGCAAATCCTCGACTCAATGTTTGTTGATATCAATCGGAGAAAACGGGATTTGATACGAAAATGTCAATTTCCCCTTGAAACACCTGGTTTTTTACTTTTATTTTTTTCAACTATGAAGATATCGTAATTAAAGAAGGACACGATTTGAGTCATAATGGTTTTTCTGAGATTGAGACCACATTTATCCAACATAAATACGGAGTTCTTTTCAGATTTTTTAACACACATCACAAACTTAGATTACCTAGAAATTTAAAAAATGAAGAAGAAGAAACGTTGATGTTTGAGAGCTTCAATCTAAAATGTTTGATTAAATTCTCACATTTTTCAAGAATATCAAAAAACACACGCAAACATGTTTCGAAATTGATTTTTTTTTTCAAAAGCAATTCAAAGAATTATGAAAATTAGTGACACCTCTGTTATTCGTTACGAAAGATTAACCTAATAATCCAGTAAATATCTAGGTAGGCTCATACGTAAGATAGCTTAAATTTTCTTCAAAAAAAGAAAATCGAAGGAAAATGGAATGGAAAGTCGGCAAAGTGTAGTGATTGTGAACATTATTTTTTTTTTCTGTTCTGACGGAGACGCCGAAAATGCCGAATTCTTTTCCATCGTGTTTCTATTTTTTATAAAACACATAAATAAATATATATATATATGTACGGAGAGCGAGGTGGGCAACATTTTGAGCTCAAAGGGGACGTGCACTTTTCTGAGCATGCGGTGGACATTGAAAAATAAACAACACGAGATTCGCACAACCAGCGACGACAGTTCGCGCTCTGATCGCCCATATGACGCAATTTTTGCAAAACCGGAGGTCGACGTAGATGGCGGCAGTTTTTGGCAAAAAAAAAAGAGAACGAGAAAAAAGCGGAGAAGGAAAGTTTGATTCCCACGACGACAATCGCGTTCCAGGTCGAATCGCAATTGTTGTTTTTTTTTTCATATATGTATATTGTCGGGTCGAGGTGTGCTTTGGTTTGTTTACATTCTGGCAGAAAAAAACGAACAAATAAAAAAATACATATAAATATATTAAAAACGAAAAAAAAAGCGCCCTGTGACACGACGATGAGTTTGATTCGCAGGTTATTCAAGGTACGATACCCAAATTCCCACTATATAAATAGAAATTAGAATTAGATTTTTTATTCATTCTTCAAGGTGCTGGTTTTTTGCGATGATAATATACATATACAAAAAACGAATACTCATAAAATTTTCCAAAAATGCAATTTCCAGATTATTAAAAACGGAAAACGAACCTCAACAGAAAAAATCTTGTATTTACTGGAAAAAAGTGTTGTATTTTTTATTCTGACGGGAAAATCTGAAAGATGAATTATTATCATTTTAATTTATTAAATAAAAAAGAAATTAGGCAGAAGGCGAATAAAAATGATGAACGTTTTCCCTAATTTTTAATGGGTTGGGAAAAGCTTATCTTCAATTATTTATTTTAATAAAGAAATGGATTTCCTCAAGATTGAGACTCGATCTTAGTGTTCGTGATGGTTCTCTAATTGAAATATACTTTAATTTCTTTTATATTCGGCGTCCGGTGACTGCTGTACGCGGGTAGATTTACGGGAATGCGTCTTTCGAAATGGTCTCGCAAGGACTAACAGGTTATTTCAAATTTTATTGGTCGGTTCAATAATTTTTAAATCGAACGACGTTGAAAATTCAAGGAAATGTGAAACTCATCAAGAAAAATGAAGCAGTTCACGTAAAAACAGCAAAATAAGCATTCACTCGTGGCGAGACCTTTTCAAGGCGCATGCGCGTAAATCTACCCGCGTACAGCAGTCGCCGGACGCTGACTATATTTTATATCACAAAATCTTTCGAAGAAATTTTGGAAAAAAGGACCAAAATCGAGCAAGATCTTGTTTTTGCTAGTTCTGATAATACTGATTTTTTTTTTCTAAAAACCCAATTTTAGCTACTTTTACACAATATTCAAATCCAGAGTGAAATGGAAAATATGAAAAAATCATCATTTCTAGGATTCGTTCAACAACCACACAGAAACTGTGGCATTTTTCAGTAAACGCCGATTGAATGCGCAATTAGAGGCGAGAAGACGTTCAATAATGGGTGTCAATTAAATGTATGTTTATAAGTATACAACACGGAATACAATTCGAATACCAGACAAACTGTACGATGATGGGGGATGGATTGAGTTGGTTGGACAAATCTACATATAATTAATTTCTCGCTCAAATGAACTTTCATTCATTGATCAATGTATTGAATAATATATTATCGGCTACTATGTATTTTGAATAAATTATTTTTCACCTCGTTTCATTCGGTTCTTTCCAAATAGGTATTGATTTTCATATTACTCGCATTTTTATTAGATATTTTTGAAAAAAAAAAGG